GCCCTCCCTTTCATCATCGTCCATCGCATCACGCATGCATTTCCGACTTGGCACGATCGAGAAAATGAGCCACTTTTTCTCCACCCGGAATCGATTTCATATACGCCGAAAAATGGAAAGGAAAATTGGAGTTGACAAGCAAAACAGGTTATTGGTGGAAACATGGTCGGCTTTTTCCACAAACACGAGTTCAACATCCTAGACTCCACTATTTCACTAAACCTTTTTCGCAATAAATGTCGCCTGAATATTTCGGGGCCGTTTTCATTTCAGACAACATTAAAATGGAATAAACAAGTATATTTTGGACCTTCGCAGATCTGCAGAAGTTTTTTGCCAGTCCACAAGAAAATTTCCACCAGCATAATACATTTATTAAAAGAAGCAATGAGGGACATCACAGTATCTTCATCTGAAATTTTGTCAACAATGGCGATTACAATTATTTCATGAAAAATAAATGCTGGCTTTTCTTATAAAAATGCTTCAGACAAATATTCACCCACAAAAATAAATTATTTCAATTCTTTATTCTGAGAAATCTTTCTAGAAGCACACCTTTCTAATTTCCGAAGACATTCCACTTCATCTGCTTCATGGGTTCTTCAGTTTATCATTGCGGAATAAGCAGAAACTTTCTAAATACCTGCCATGAAGATTTTCAAGCAAAATTTTTTTCAGTCTTTACAAATTTTATGAAACTTTGCTGGTCTGCAGAAAATTTCACGGGAATTTGCCAGTCAGGCAACAGGTTGGGGAACATTGGAATAGACAATCATATAATCCTTGAATTGGACATTGAACAGGCAGGAGCAAAACTCTGATCTGGAAATGCCATCACAAATTTCAGATATTTTTGAAGTGTGAAGGTTGTGGGGTCTCTCACTAATGTTTTGGAAACTTTTTATCATTGAACGTGCGGTACAAACTCAGTAGAGTGTATTTTATTACACTTTTTTAAGACGAGTCGTTTTGCACTTAAATAAAACCGAAACGTATAAAAACGCGCCTCAATCCGAGTCAGATTCGACTCGCATTCTGCTTTTCCTCCTAAAACCAACAACATCATCATCATCGGAATCATTGCTTTCCTCATCACCAATGAGCCACCTATCAAAAAGCGGAGGTAGCAGTGCACCGAGTAAGTGAAGTAGGAGAAGCAGACTTGAATTGTGCCAAGATGCAGCGAAGGCGTAACCACTGGCTGAACAAAGTAGTAGGAGCAGTAGTAAAGGGACAACTCGGACTTCATCTTCTGAACTGGACAAATTCCGAACTCTTCCGGATGACGTCGGCGATTTCGACGCTTTCATCAATGCATCAAAAGGATCTGCTCCTACCACAGGTTTGGGTGCCTTATCAGCAATTTTTCTCCGACTTTCTGAAGATGCTTCGTTTTCTCCTTCATCGTCAGTTGAATCTGCGAAAATTACAAAAAAATTCAAGAATACCGAACCATACAGACGGAAAGTCAATGATATTTTGCGAGCTTTTCAGCCTCACACCTACAGAATAGAAGCTGGACAGAAAAGCGCACATCAAAAATAAAATTATCAGTATCAATTTTGTAGCGAGGTCACACAAAAAAAGATCGTTTTCTTTCTACCTTTCAACTTTTTGCATCGGGGGGAAAAACAGACACAGGAATAACCTGCCGGAATATTTAAACCACTTCACGGAACAAACAAGCCCAACTGCGATAGCGTCAAAAATACGATTTCCGCGGAAAAATAAATTATCTGGGAAAAAATTCATTACATTATGCATCATCAGCTGACTAAACGCACTCGATTTTATTTTCTTGTACTCCACATTTTTTATGCCTAAAATTTCGAGATTCCATCGCATTTAAAACTCGGCCAGTTTCTTACTGAAATGTGTCGAACTCAACAGTATTCTTCAATTTAATCGCAAAAAAATCATGATTCAGCTTTCAAGGACGACTCTGGGCTGGGTCAAGTTTTTGAGCCACTTCGTAGCACAGAGAAAAATCCAATAAAATTATTAAGTCATTGATTAAGCTTAAATGAAAGTGGTGGAGAAATTCGCGGGAGCCTCTTATTTTCCTCCAACCACATCAACAGGCTTTGGAAATATAAAAGAGTAAAACGGGTAATTATTTATACCCTCCTTACAACAGTCTGAATTGTCCTACTTTTGCTTTATAAATGCAAAAGATTGAACAGAAAGCATAAATTTAGCTATTCATCGACAAAATAAATACAGTAATTCAAACAAAACGTACAGTTGGACTAAATTCTTCGTCATTTCAACGCTTCCTATTGCATAATAAACGGTCCAATGTCAAGATAAAAATTTGTTTCTCAATCAACCATACATTCGAATTTTTCGCTTGAAAAATTGCATCGAAATCAACGAAGATAATAAAACATCCGAACATTACATCTAATTTTGGTCGAAGAAAAAAATAAATTCACAAACTTTCACCTCAACCCACGCACCATTATTTGGAGCACAGCAATTTTCCAATTTTCTACTGGGACATTAATTTTCTGCCCGCTAAAACGCCACGTAAAAAATTGAATAGTCAGAAACTCCACCCACCTTTTTCTTCATCAAGGTTTCCGCTCTTGGCTGAGGAATCCAAAATCAACCTATTTTCAGATTCATCTTCGGAGGAATCGGAAAGCAATCTTCCTCTTCTCTGCTTCTGTTTGGTACTCGGAGCCTCACTATCATCAGAATCCAAAGCGGGATCCTTCACTTCACCAGGGTCTTCTCCATTTTCTGAACTTTCAGACACTTGCTTCTTTCGTCGAAGCTTGGCTTTCCCAATGACACCAGCATCCCTGGGGGCCTCGTCATCAGAGTTGCTGTACATTAGTCTTCGAGCCCGCTTCCACGCCTCCTTGTTTCTGCTTCTTTCGCCGACTCGGGAGTTGCCAGCTTTTCTGTCGCTGTCGACGTCGTCACTTGACGA